ATGTTAGATCTTTAAGACAAAAATTATGGCGGCTAGTTCTAAGTCATTGGTAGGATAGTTCTGCTCATGATTCTTTAATTGTATGGAACTAGAAGCTATCACTTTTTTATGTTGCATTAGCATGCATCCCAACAATTGCTTTGAAACATCACTATAGATAGATAATCTACCAGTACCATTAGCAATAGTCAATACTGGAGTCGTTGTCAATCGTTTCTTTAGTTCTTGAAAACTTTGTTTACACCCCCATCCACACCAACTCCTAACCCTAACCGCCAGACCCCTTCATTGGAGAAGAAGATCCAGCTACCGGAAGGACGCCACCACCACCTACCACTGCACCGAAGCTTTTTTCAACCACCAAAAAATGTGAAAATTTCTCATTTTGCTCGAAATTCAATTTTTAAGCACACCCATGACCAAATCAGAGCAAAAAGACCAGCCAATTGGCCAGAAAATGTCGGCGGCACCGCCGCAGAGAATTTCACAAAACGCCTCCGATGAGGTCCTTCTTGATTCCCGTTATGTGTAATTTTTCTACCATTGTGATCACCGTTTCCTTCTCTACAGATTTACTAGAGCAAAACACCCAACCCAACATGAGCCGGAGGAGCCGCCGCACTAGAGAGCCCCGCCGCTGATGAGTTTCAATTTTTTGTATTTTTTCAGCCAATCGAGACCCTTTAATGTATTTTCTCGTAAGGATCGATGCAGAATCGGCCGAATTCAGCCAAAAAGGGCCAAAAATAGCCAACCCGAGGCGAATCACTGCCGTGTCGGAATTTTAAAATTGGCCAAGTGAGCCCTGGGACTGATTTTGGGTTTATTTAGAATATTTGTATGTACTATTAGCGCGTTTTAATTCTAAAGAAAAATTTAGAGAACCCAAAAATTGCCCGTAGACGCAGTCGAATAGCTTAGCTTTTTGGATATCAAATCGAGTAAGGATCCCTCACCTTATTCTCTATCATAGAATTGAAATTTAAATAAATAATAATATAATATTTGTGTGAATTTAGAAAATGTGCATAATTAATTACGGATTGCTAATGGAGCCAAAATCGAAAATTATCTACTGTTATTGTTGATTGTTTTTACAGTTTATATGCATGATGGTATCTTATTAATTGATTTTATGGTTTTGAATGCATGTATAGTTTATTCTGTGTTTACTACTGAATCGGAAAAAACAAAGGTTAAACGGTAAAAATTGTGTGATGAAATGAATAGATGAAACGACTGCCTTACTGGATATCCTAAGAGATGGTGGACGGACCGGGTACATAGAGAACCCTACCGTGAACGTTGTCTCATACCGGACGAGGTAGGGAGACTTTATAATCTGGCGCTCATACTGGACGGGGTATGAGGACGACTTGCTTCACCCTCATACCGGAGTGGATATTGAGGTTTGGTAAATTGGCACTCATACGGGACGGGGTATGGAGACGGCCCGTAATTGAGAATGTTAAATGAAAGGGTTCACGTACAGCTGGAATATCTCTATGAACCCTTATGGATACCAGCAAGCTGATAAAAAGAGTGACAGTTATTGTTTGATTTATTGATGATGGATATAGATTTATAATATGTGCTACAATCGCTGATTATACATGGAATTATGATCTGTGTAATATTATTGTCTGTATAGATTGTTTTTATGAATCCCACTACGGTAAGTGAACGGTAAATGATTTTATTTTTAATAAATGTATTGGTTTAAATTTAGTGCTCCATTAGTATTTTTGATTTTCTACCAATGTTTATTTCTATGTCGGTGATATAGTGTGATGTTCTTACTGGGATAGTGTAGTTTATCTCTTATTTAATCATTTTATATCAAAAGAACCAGATTCCAGAGCACGATCCGCAAGAGGATTGCGAGTAGATGCTAGATTTTTTTATTTTTTGTTTATTTCCTTATTCTTGTGTTTCTTTCAAAAGAGTGAATTTTAGAACACTGTTTGGTACTTTAAATTATTTGTGTAAAGAATATAAATTCTGAACTTTTATTACGCTTTCGCACTTTAATTATCTTTTATTTCATTTGGATATTTTCGGGGTCGTTACATTTATTCTAAGGAGGCTCAATCAGTGGTCCCAAACATAAATTTCTCTTGCATTTTACATAATGTGGCAGTCTTAATGATGATGATTATACTAGCTACCATGGTCCACATTCAGCAGAATAGGAAATTAGAAAACAATTTCTCTCTAGATCAGTCTAAGAAGATTCAAACCTCTGCCTCTCCAATCCTTGTTGAATGAGAAGCTCCTCTCATATTTACTCAAAATCATATTATGTACTCAAGCAACATCTTGGTCCTGTGTAATTAGAATCTTGTTTTATAACAACAATGGCTTCTGTATCTGTATAAAAGCAGGTGGTAGATACCAAATCCTCAAAGTTGTGTTTTTCTAGATTTTGATCTGCAGGTATTCCAATAAAAGCACATATTTCATTGGATTGTTTGTATTGTCTTAATATTAGGATCATCGGGAGTCATAGCTTTAATGGCCAATTATGATTGTAGATGTTTTCTTCTTGTTATATATTTTTCCTCCCTGTGCAGCCTCAGTAATATTGAAAAGATTTGGCCAACTGGCAAACCACAAAGTGAAGGGGCTTAATTATCTTTCAATCTCCAGTTTGCAATTATAAAATTCGATGCTAGTTAAGATCCAAAGTTTTTTATCATGCACATGTTGATCATGTGAACAATCAGCAGCTTATAGTTAAATCATATCTATGCAAATTTATTTGTGTGCACTTGTACTGATGAATATAAAAGTAATAAACCTTATATGCCAACTTGTCACTAGTTTATCGAACAAAACATAAGATTCTTTGCTGCTAGCTTCTCACTTTTATTTTTCTATCAACTTGGTTCACAACTATATAAATCCATAAGGTAGTTATGGTGCTTGTTTGTGGAGAGAAAATTTGAAGTAAAACATAACTTCAAGTTTACGAGCAAGCTAATCCATATTGTTAGTTTTAGCATTTAAATATTGGATGGCTCTGCTTGTGTATTTAACAAGCTGCAACTAGATAAACTATTGGTCCTTCTTGACATGTATCATCATTTTTTCTTTTCGTTCTTTTTCCCCTAAGATTGTTTTACAGGTTAATCAAAGTCTAAACAACTTTTATACGAGAGAGAATATCACCTTATTGTTAATTCCAAATCTGTATTATTGATGAAAGCACAAAAAGAAAGCAACAGGAATCTACATTCCACGTAAGCCTGAGATTAGAATGTGTGATTGATTTCTTCCAGCATATCTCTGTTACTCAAAAGGATGCAAAAGAAAAATGAACTAAGGAACTAATTCTCTTATATCCACCTATGTAATTATCACCATTATTTTGGTGATGGATTACTAGTTCGCTTTTCTTTCTCTGTGTCTCAATTCTTGTAATATTTCTTTCTCATAGTTGGATGAAAATTATGGACATGTGGAAACTCATTCCAAAATTTAACTTGTTTCAGAAAGTGTAGATCATTGTCTTTATTTTAGTTAAATAATGGAAGTTCTGCATATGATGCTTCAGCTATTGATAGTATGGACATCATTGTTGGCGGTCAAGTTCAGCTTCACAGATTCATTCATTGATTTTGATATCCCAGATAATCCTTCTGTTGTATATACATACAATCGTTTTCACGATATTAAAAAAAATGCAGTTTTATTCCTTCATCTGATTTTGATTTAGAACAGATGATGATAGAGATAGCAAACTAAGGGATGAGCTTTCCTTACTAAATGGAGATTAAAGGCAGGACCCTGATGGCGTACCACTGATGCCTTTCTGATGGAAGGTTCTGCGGTCTCAAAGCAATGGAACAACTGAGATTTTCAAGAAATCGCAATGGTTCCACATACTTGGTTCCAATTTGAAGCCTCTTTTGTTAATTGGGCTTTTTCTCAACTCAAGGCTTTCTCAGGAAGTATATGAATCTCGTACCATCCTACCAGGTAATCCTAAACTGAAAATTCGAGTCCCGGATGAGAAGGAGGTGTTCCTGATGACTTTAATCTTTCATTTTTCCGGGTTCCTTGTCTTGCAGGTTTTTGTGAACAATGGCAGTTCAAGAGTTTCCCAGATTGGAAATGTTTATTATGCAGGCAGCAAAACCAAGAAGCTGTTGAAATGGGTAGTGGAATTTGATGACTATGGTGGTCTGTTACAAGATTTTTTCTTGATTCCCCAGATTTTTAGTAACACTTTCTGGAAGATTAAAGGAAGACGTCCTCTTAGGAAATCTTATTATTTAGGTTTCACATCCCTGAGGGTGTTAGTACATGCTTATGACTACTTTGAGGGATCCTATTGCTGATTCCCCCATTGATGACAGTGAACATCAATTAACAAGTTCAGGTGCATATACCCAGCCTGGTAATATCAAAACAGGTATCATTGTAATGGCGCTTGCAGTGATAGTTAACGTGCGGCAAGAGCATAGTTCTCCAAAACCTAATCGTCTTGCTGATTCTGCATTAGAGGAGAGATTACACTCTTAAACTATATTTGGCACAAATCATGAATTTCTGTAGAATTCATTTGAAAATTTACTCTCTAATTTAAAAATTAAAGAATTCAAAAGAATTCATTTGAAAATCTACCTAATGATGATAAATTAGTAGAAATTCAAAATGAATTCTACAATAATTTTTTATTTGTTCCAAACATCGGCATGTTGTCCAATTTTTTGACTTTGTATTTACTTTATATTTCTCTTTCTCTTTTTTTTTTTTCTCGGTTCAAATATTATAAAATCCAGCATAAATCTCTTGTAATAGATTGAATCAGTTAATTTATAAAAATTCATTTAAAAATTTTAAATCTCAAATTTTTAGTAGATTTTCATTTTAATTTATGAAATTTAAAAGCTTTAATTGAACAAAAAAAAAAGAAAAGAAATTTGCTGCGTTTATTAAATAAATTAATAGGCTTTTCTTGTTCTCTTTTTATTAATCAGAAAATTTGGGCCGGCAGTGTGTCAGCATCTTGGTGGTGGGCCCAATATCCACAGATAAAATCACACACACAAAGATTATCCCTTAAAAATCTGTTCAACTGCTAATGACAAAAATACCCTTCCCGCTGTTGCTGACAGTAAGTCGGTAATAACAACCTTCTCCACCATATCTTCGTCTACTTCTTCAGCTTCAGCTTTCCTCGTGCATGGCTTCTCTTCATTTCACCACCACACCAAATCCAGACTTATCTCACTTCAAATCCACAAATCCCACAAAGTCTCTCAAAATCACGCAGACCCATGTCGGAAAGACCCTCGAGAACCCACCAAATCATCTCTCTTTGAGCAAATCTTACTTTCACCGCGTGTTCTCTCTCTGCAAAGATGGCCAAATTCAAGAAGCTGTAGACTTAGTCACTGAGATGGGGTCCAGAGAACTTCACATTGGGCCAGAATTCTACGGTGAGCTCCTTCAAGGATGCGTGTACAAGCGAGCTCTGTTCACAGGTCAGCAAATTCACGCTCGAATTCTCAAGATTGGGGATTCATTTGCAAGAAATCAGTATATCGAGACCAAGCTTCTAATCTTCTATGCGAAATGCGATGCTTGGGAGGTTGCGAATCTTTTGTTTCACAGACTAAGGATGCAGAATGTGTTTTCTTGGGCTGCTATCATTGGGCTCAAGTGTAGAACGGGTGTTAATGAAGAAGCTTTATTGGATTTTTGTGAAATGCAAGAAAATGGTTTCTTGCCTGATAATTTTATAGTGCCTAATGCTTTGAAAGCTTGTGGTGCTTTGAGGTGGATTGGATTTGGGAAAGGGGTTCACGGGTATGTCGTCAAAGTGGGCCTTAATGACTGTGTCTATGTGGCTAGTAGTTTGATAGACATGTACGGGAAATGTGGGGCTTTGGAGGATGCAAGGCAGGTGTTTGATTATATGCGTGAGAGAAATATGATTGCTTGGAACTCGATGATTGTGGGTTATGTCCAAAATGGAATGAATGAGGAAGCAATTAAGGTTTTCTATGATATGAGAGTGGAAGGAATTGAGCTTACTCGGGTCACCTTGTCGAGCTTTTTATCAGCCTCGGCCAATTTGGATGCAGTTGAAGAAGGCAAGCAAGGTCATGCTATGGCAGTCTTGATTGGACTAGAGATGGATAATATTTTGGGTAGTTCTATTATAAACTTCTACACGAAGGTTGGTTTGATGGAGGATGCTGAGGCTGTTTTTAGTAGGATACTTGAAAAAGATGTGGTGACATGGAATCTACTTATTTCTGGTTTTGTGCAACATGGACAAGTGGAGAAAGCACTCAACACTTGTTGTCTGATGAGATCGGAAAATTTGAGGTTTGACTGTGTCACATTAGTTTCTATTTTGGCTGCTGCTGCTGACACGGAAAATATAAAGTTGGGGAAAGAAGGGCACTGTTATTGCATTAGAAACAATTTTGAAACAGATGTGGTTGTGGCAAGCAGCCTCGTAAATATGTATGCTAAATGCAGAAGAATTGACAAGGCAAGAAGCGTTTTTGACTCCACAACTCACAGGGATATAGTACTGTGGAATACTCTTTTAGCAGCTTATGCAGAGTTTGGTATGAGTGGAGAGGCCTTGAAGTTTTTTTATCAAATGCAGTTAGAAAGTGTGCCACCCAATGTGATATCATGGAATTCTGTGATTCTGGGTCTTCTTAGAAAGTTTCAGTTCAGTGAGGCTATGGATATGGTCTTACAGATGCAATCTCTTGGTGTTGACCCGAATTTAATTACTTGGACTACTCTTATTAATGGTCTGGCTCAGCAAGGTCTTCATGACAATGCGATTCAGTTTTTCAGAAAGATGCAAGACTCAGGGATAAAACCCAATGCCATTAGCATCATCAGTGCACTCTCAGCTTGCACAGATGTGGCATCACTACACTATGGAAAATCAATTCATGGCTACATCACAAGACATAACCTTTGCTATTCGACTCCAGTTTCAACTTCTCTGGTGGACATGTATGCCAAATGTGGAAGTATAGATCAAGCAAAGGCGTTTTTTGAAACAAAATTGATTAAAGAACTGCCTCTTTACAATGCAATGATCTCCGCTTATGCCTTGCATGGTCAAGCTGAAGAAGCTCTCACACTCTATAAACATCTACATGAAGCTGGTGTTGAACCGGATAGCATAACATTTACCAATATCTTATCTGCCTGCAACCATGCTGAAATGGTAAAAGAAGGTTTGGAGCTTTTTGTTCAAATGATCTCGAAATACAGTATAAAGCCAACCATTGAGCATTACGGATGTGTGGTTAATCTTCTATCTCGGCATGGTAACTTGGATGAAGCTTTGAGGTTTGTCCATCAAATGCCATATGAGCCAGATGCACATATTATAGGATCATTGATTGCCGCATGTAGAGAACAAAATAAGGTCCAACTTGGGGAACACTTATCAAAACATCTGTTAAAACTAGGACCAGATAATTCCGGAAACTATGTGGCACTATCAAATGCATATGCAGCTGCTGGAAAATGGAGTGAGGTCTTAAAGGTGAGGGATTTAATGAAAGAAAGGGGCTTAAGGAAAAATCCTGGTTGCAGCTGGATTCATATAGAGGAAGAACTTCATGTGTTTATGGCTGGTGATGGTTTGCATCCCAAAACTGAAGAAATTTACTCTACGTTAGCATTGTTAAGAAGAGAAATGTGCTTCAACACTGAAATTCTCTTGTCATGAATGCAAGATTTTGTCAGGAAGTAGTACAACTGAACTGTTACAAGTGGTTTCCATTGTTGGATAAACTGTCTGAGCAAAGAGAGAACTTGAGTGAGAAAAGAAGTCAAGCCAACTTCTACTCAGAGGAAGGAAACTTTATCATATCCGCTTGGAAGCTGGAATTGAGAAGTCAAGTATAGGAAAATGATGAATATTGTATGGCTGGAAGAAGAACAAGTGAAAGAAGGCAAACAGAACTGAACAAAAAGCAGATTTGTGTAAATAAGGACCATGTGAAGTGGACTGCTATAAGGTACAGCTCTCCCCAAATTCCCAATTGTTTTGCTGTATATAATGCTTAAAGACACCATATGAATTTTTCTGGACATAGCTCCTTAGAAGCTTAGCCCAGTATGCTGATTGGGCCTGTGATGAATTTTTTAATGGTAGATCAACTGAAAAAAAAATTTGGACAATTTTGTTTTCTTCTCTTCATTTTGATAAAGCATGAGCTAAGAAAATTAGGCGAGGGCAAACTATACAATCTTTCCCCATTAGCACCATTACTTGGCCGATAATAAAGTCTACATGTCTGACTCAAGAGGGATGATTTGGCTACCAAACAAAGCTTTATAGAAGAAGGAATCTAAAATTTTATTTTAGATAAGAACAAAGGATTTACTGGATGAAACATAGTACTAGTGACTAGTAACTAGTACAATTCCTTCCTGGTATCCCATAAAAGCATCTTTGTAAACGTAGCTTCTCTGACTTCACTTTTTCACTTGAAGTGAAATTGTGAGATGGTGGCGGACAGCTGCTGAAAAACCAATCATTTGATTGTTGTGACTGTTTTTGGTGAACCAGTGAGACTAGTTGGTAATTGAGTTTATGTCTACGCAGTTAAATTTGTTACAAAATTATTATTATCATCATCAATTGATCTACCATTACTGGAATACACCAACCGGGAGTGAAAACCACATAATCAAATATCAATTGCTATCAAAAATCAAGTTGGGTAAAACTTAGAGAGAAGAATTAAAGGGAATTAGGAGAGAATGAATGGCTTTCTTCTGAAGAAAATCATTTTTTCTTCTAAAATCTTTGGATTTGTTCACAACTTTTCTCATCATTGTAAAATGAATCTCTTCTTTCTAATAAGATCTATAACTGCTCTAGTTGTTGAGATTTCAATTCATAGA